AGTCAAATATATTTTGCAAATTAGTAGATCATTGTTGAAACATTAACATTAACATTGTTGAAAAACTTAAATATTGATATGCCACAAAGCACGCCTTTTAGACCTCGTCATCTCCAATTGTACTATAAGTTTTTTTTGAGCTCCTTTTCCGGGAAAGTATTTGATATTTTTTGCTTAGAAGATATAGACGCATGGGGTTTAACCAATCAGCATTATAGACACATTTTTAAACGGCTCCATAAAGGATAGAAACTTCAGATTTGATGCGATTTAAAAATTGATTGAGCTCTTAAGAAATATCTAAGACAATTAAGATTGTTTATAATAACCGTTTAATTTAAAAAAAAATTTCCAAATGTATCCCGAGAATTTTCACTTTTTATAGTTTATTTAGACAGTGTTAAATTTTACTAAGAAATATAAATTTTCAAATGGCATTATTTTTTCGAATTGTTTTCTCACGCAAAACACATCAAGCACATGCTTACTATAATTATGATGAATGAATTTTCAAAGAATATACTACATAATTATTATACATTATTTTTGATTTCGATTTTTAATAAAATTTTAAACGGAACTTTAAAATTTTAGGACGATATTGTTCTTACAAGTATTTTTCAAAATTTAACTTATCCTTCACTTCACACCAAACACATACACACGATGTTTCAGTAAGAAACATAAAGGAAGATATCAGTAAAATTTTTATTTTTTGTTTTTAATTTGTATTAACTAATAATTTGTACTTAAAAAATGTATACTTCTAGTATGGTATTGTTTTATAAGTATTTAAAAAAAAAATTTATTAGGCGCCCAACACATTACTCATACGTACCATAATACCATTAAACCATTACACAAAAAATGACACAAAAATTTTTATTTTTTTTTTCTGAATTGAATTTACCATTGAATTCTATATATTTAATATTTAATATATTTATTTATATATATAAATTCTCGGGATACATTTGGAAAATTTTTTTTTCGATACTAAACCTTTATATTAATACTTAAATATAATCAATCTTAATTCTTTAAACAACTTTATAAATGCTCAATCAATCCATCTTTAAATCGTAACAAATCTAAAGTTACTATCCTTTATGGAACCTAAGATATGACCGTTTAAAAATGTGTTTACAATGTTAATTGTTTAAACCCCATGGGTCCATATTTTATTTTATGACAGGAGCTAATAACAATGTTAAAAATGAAAGCATTGTTTCAATATGCAAAACGTAATAGCCTATTTTCGCAGCTCAACTAATTGAGAATAATGTGCTCTGTGAATAATGAATTTAATTTTAACTAAATTTTGTATAAATTATAATTTAATCGCAATATCCGAAAATTGTATTTTGTACTTGATTTTGCGACATGAGAAAGTAATACCAAAGAACATTTTATGCAGATTGCCCAAAGCAGTCATTGTACTTTAGCTTTAAACAAAAAATTATTCGAAGTTCTATTTCGAACTACCGATACAACCACATACAGTTTTTTTTCTATTTTTTTTTTGCGTTTGGTGTTAATGACAATTATGTATTTAAGTAAATATTTGTTTTTACAATTCTCTCTCTTCTCTATTTCATGTATAAAATTAAAAAATATATATTTCCTCGTGAAATGGATTTAAAGGTTCTTAAGGTATATAAAAAGATAATTGAAATGTTATTTAAAGCATTTTGCACCATTTATAGTTAGTATTTTAATTCGTTTTTATTTGGATATTGCTTGCACTGTTTATATTTTCCATTAGAAGACCTTTCAACCTTTCCGATTCATCGAGCTTATACCATAAGTTCAAATTAAATCAATCGACTCGAAAGTAGTATTGAATTTCTGAAAAAAATATATCTTGCATATATCCTAATTGATTCGGATAAGGTTGGGATGTCTAGTTTAACTTTAGTTTATTTTCCTAATGCAAATATAAATTCAGTTTCAAGATTTGCCGTTCTTTACTCGTACATTTTAAATCAAGTCCTCACTCTATGAACATTGTTTCAAAGTAAACATTATTATGAGTGTCGCAACTGGTCAATAGAATTTTTTCTATTACAATTTTATTTTTTAAATTCATAATGTTGCATGTTCAAATTTTTCACTTAAAGCAAAAATTTTCTGTGCTAACATTTGATAATGCGAAATTTGTCCGTAGGTGTTTCAGTTTGTAATTAGATACATATTTTAGAAGTTTGGACTTACAACGCATTACATGGGTAGTTTGATTTACTTTATATGCTCTACTAAAATGCTTTTTATTACAAATTGCATAATTGCAGTATATTGTTATGTTTGAATGCTTTTTAGGATTAAGCAGAATTTTTTAATTGGCAGCGAAACTTAATTCGCCTGCTAATATAATAAAACTAACTGTTATAATTTATAGACTATGGCAGCAACGAAGAGAAATGCCGGTTTAACATCTGCAGTACCAAGAGCCACTTTGAACGATGAAGAACTGGTGAAGTTCAACAAAAATGAGAATCTTACTTAAATTAATGAATACTGTTTAATATTACAGAAAATGCATGTCTACAAGAAGGCTTTGCAAGCACTGATTTATCCAATATCATCCACTACACCGCACAATTTTGTATTATGGACGGCTACTTCGCCAACATATTGTTATGAATGCGAAGGATTACTTTGGGGGATTGCACGGCAAGGTGTGCGTTGTACAGAGTGTGGTGTCAAATGTCATGAAAAATGCAAGGATCTATTAAATGCTGACTGCTTGCAAAGTACGTATAACACATAAATTTATTCTTTTTCAAAACTTATTCTAACCATTATAACACCATCAAGTAAATATTTATTATATATTACTTAGTACGTAATATATGTCTTTTGTTAAAAATTTTGCGATTCATTAAATTTGCAAAGTATGTACATTTTTATAGTTGCCGCATAATTAGACAGAGATACCGGCATGTTTGTTGAAAGTTTGCCAGGCACTATAGATGCACGAATAAAGTAGCTAGAAGGGAATTTCATAACAGGCTATTATTCTCAGAACCTAGTTTTAGTGCTTTTAACTTGCGCTAAAAACCTATAATGAAAGTTGATGTTAAAACTGCAGTAATTAAAAATTCAAATATATAAAGTATTTAGTATACTCGTATAAAGCCGAAAGTAATGAAATAACGCAGTCGACGGGTGCTTTATATCCCCTAAATCATATAGAACGTATCAATTATTATTTCCTGGAACTGAAGGAAAGCCTTGTCTTTTGCAAAATAGCGCGCCTTTTGTTTTGTTTAATCTAAAACAACAAGAATAATTAATTAATAATGAGTAACAAGTCTTGCAAAACGGTTTTCTTTATTTCCAATACATAATCTAAAGCATGGTGATATCTTAAATAATAAACAATATATTATATACGATATAATACAATATAATATGGGTGCGCAGAAAAGCTCTAAATAAAATTTTGTAAACGTATTTTGTGACATACCCACACATGTTTGACAGGCATATGAAATACGAAATGGACGTTGAATTTGATGCGTATCTTTTTTGTAAAAATTAGGGATATTCATGTTAAGCGCCTTTATCGCTGCGATTTCATTGCAGAACTGTCAAACTGTCAATGTAACCGGAATATGCTACGTGTACGTAAGAAAAAAAATACGTACGAACACGCAAGACAAAATTCGCATGCAATGTGACCGCTGCCTTACGCACAAATGCGCAAATCGTAAACATATGCAAGTGATAACATAAAGTTCCTCTGATGCATATTTGTTGCGAAACCTGTACAAGTATTAGGTTTCAAAAAAAATGATTTATTAGTATTTTATAATAGTAAAGGACGGTTCAATTTTTGACAGTACAGTTTTGAGTCAAGTGCTCCTAGTAAATGATTTCTGCATATCCCATCAAACGCACAGAAAAATCTTCCTGACCGTCAATTCTGGCTTGGTCAACGTTTCAGCCGGCTCATCGCGATTCCACTACGATCGTTTTCGTTTTCAATTTTATTGCGATTCAACAGCAATTTGGAGATCGAAATTCGGTCCATGAGATTTTTTTGCGTTAACTCATGTGGTACCCATATATCAAGCTTCTTTTCTGGGCAATCAAAAGAGTGCTTATATGATGGATGGACTTGACAATTTTCATGATTTTATCGAAATTTTTGATGCGTGGTGGATGTTTGACATCGAAATGACCGGAACTAGGGTAACCCCCGTTACATTCTTACGTATTCTTTCATATTCAACAATATGTATGTGCTTTGACCATTTCAAAGGAACTTATTTATTTTTTATTCTTTATTCAGACATGATTTAAAATCATTTATAAAGAATTGAATTTCTGCTTTTTTAATTCTATTCTATTTTAAATTCTATTATTCTATTGATAGGTAAAAAATAGTTTTTTTAGAAAAGTGTCTAACAAAAACTTAAAATTCACGAAATAAATTTCGTAGAAAATTTTATAATTTTGCAATTATTTTAATTGCAAACGCATTCTGTAACCCAAATTTTCTTAATGCTTATTCTTACATCAATATTTGTAACAGCGTTACATGGCATTGCTTTGCTTAATGAGAATAATGCTTAGAGTGCACTCATGATTTGTGTTCGGATAGTGTGTTTCGTATTGGCTTTTAAATGTAATCATACCGATCTTTGACAGTTGATACTTCTCTTGAATTATTTTAAACCACAGTATAATTTTATATTTTATCCGCAGGCATAAAAGTGTGCAGAAACGAATATCGATTTTTGTAAGCAAATGTAAAGATTTCTGATTTTTTTTTGTAAATGATAAGGATCCGATGTAATAAAATCATAAAAATACGAAGAAGCACCAATAATCCTTTTATATAGGTTTAATATACTATATATTATTGAAATGTGCGTCGCTTGAATAATATATTCTTCAATGAAAGTCTTCACTGAAGACAATAAAATTTTTATAGCTACATTTTAAAGTAGTATGCAAGGCAAATTAAAATTAACGATCTCTTCATGAACAAAAAATTAGAAACTTTTTGGTATTACCTAAACTTCAGGCTTAATATTTAGGGTTATTAAAGGCAGTAACAGTAATAATTGTTCAAAATGTTTTATGTGCTCCTAAAAACTAGTAGTTCCAAAGAATTTCAGTTTTGAGTTTTTGAAAGAGCTGCACAGAAACAAAGAATATGCTCCAAGATTTTCGCAATAATCCGTTTCTTATAGTTTCTACTGGAATATTGAGTTTACATGCGTGTATTACAACCATACAGTGCCTTGTTAAAATACCAACTAGCATCCTGCAGTTATTTCGATCGAATAACAACAGAGTAGTGACGATTGCTCTACGGTGCGGATGTGTGCGGTGCACACCCTAACATAAATTGCAAATTGTCAAATTATATATATAAATTTATTAAATATCTTTACATCCAGAATTAATATTATAAATTACATTTTCATATATATATTTTTAAAGATTAAAGTTTTAGCAAAAACAATTAAATATAATTGTCTATGAAAACTCAATTAATTTGCTTCTCTTAGCTACCATGTTATAGTCGTTAGTTGTGCTCATAAGTTTGCAGCTCACATCGCGAAACATTTCTATCATATTTCGTCTTTCCCCTTTACGCAATTGCATTCATAAATTTCTGTCATAAGTGTATAAGTGTTGAATGTATAACAATTCAACATGTTGACTTGCCGAAGCGGTTAGATGTGCGGCTAAAGTTTGCAGTTCACCATACATTTCTTTCAAATTTCGTCTCTCCCCTTTTAGCTGTTGCTCCAGCGAATAATAGTCGCTTTGTGTGCGGAGTAGCTGACCGCACAGTTATAGGCTGCAAGTGATTTCGATTTTGTTTTATCACTACATAAACATGTATGGTTCTAAGTACAAACTCTTTTGTTTGAAAAAAGTTGTTTCGATGTTATAAGAAGTATGTGTAAAGTTGTGTTTATTCCAGATTGATATAATATTCAACTTATATATATATTTTATTAATTTAATTTATTTAATATGTTATTTTGTTAATGAAATTGTAAATATTATATTGTAAATATATTATTGCCTAATGTAATATAGTTATTATTAATAAAACATCTTATATATTTCAATTTATCATTTTTAATTTAAGTGGTAAATGTAAAAACAGCATTGTAGAAGGGCCGCACATCCTTCCAGATAGGGCACGCGTCGCCACTGCAACAGAGATATATATGATTTTATTTGATTTGTTTTATTTGAGACTAAATCAGCTTTTTAGACCAGGATGATAGTTTTTGATCTTTCTGAAATATTAAAATGGATGAGAGAAATTAATTTATATGTGATAAAGACGCTATAGAAGAATTAAAAATAGATGAGAAATTAATTTATATGTGATAAAGACGCTATAGAAGAATTAAAAATTATTTAACAATTTTAATATATGCTGATGATATTAAGGCTCGATTTCACTTGATGGAACTAAATACATACAGTCTTTGTGTAAATTGTGTAAATTGAATTCAATACTTAAGAAGTTAAGATGTACTTTCTAAAATAGATATTCTTAATATTCTAAATGGTTTGGACACATTTGCAGAAGTATCTTACACACGCTACGAAGTACAGGCAGAAGTGATAAGTGGATTTGATTTTTAATCTAAATTAAAATTAATATTAAAATTAAAAATTTTGTTTGTCTCAAAACCGATCAACGACAGCGCGTATGTCAAGATTGTGTTGAATAAAGAATATTAAAAAACAATATTGAAAAAAAAATTATATATACATTTTTATATATTGGTGTGTATGTATTCTATAAGTATGTATATATTAAAACTGTCCAAGTTTTGACGTACCTTCACAGATAAACAATTTCTGATTAATTTTTTTGATATATTTAGGGGCTGCAGAAAAAAGTTCAAAGCACGGAGCAGAGGATAAAGCCAATTCAATTATAACAGCCATGAAGGACCGAATGAAACAGCGAGAGAGGGAGAAACCGGAAATTTTTGAACTTATAAGGTAAGTAGGAAAAACTAGAATTCTTAATGAAAGTTATATTTATTTTATTTTGTTCAATTATGTTTTTAATATATATTAACAATTTCATTTGATTTTAAACTAATGAAATTTGTTCCGAGTACCTTATGAACTTTGCACAAAAAAATCAAGGAAATACCTATTCATATAACTACGAAGCGCATTACTTTGATTCTATTGCATATTATAAAATCAATGGACTATTATGGGATAAATATAGGAGATATGTATATATACTTAGGCATAATAATACAGTAACTGTTCTATTTCGGTATTATGATACCGAAATTTTTTGTTTGTTGATTGTCAAAGCCTTGTGCTGGCAGAAGTCAGATCAAATTATTTTATAGATATATATAGATAAATAAACTCTTAGGCTATTTACATAGTTTCGTTTAAGCTAAGCTCAACTGTTCAATTAACCCAATAACATGAATTTAAGAATAAATACAAAGGATATGCAGAGAATTTTAAATATATTTATAATAAAACAAAATACCATATATAAAAAATAAATTAAATAAATGTTATAAAATAATGTTCAGAGCGGTATTCAGCATTGAAGACAAAAGTCATACTGGGCATATGAAGGCCGTAAAGCAAAGCGTTCTGGATGGTACAAGCAAATGGTCGGCGAAAATAGCAATAACAGGTTTGATTACAAATCTAAATATACAATAAAATATTTACTTAGTTAAATAATTCTATTCACACAATAATTTGTAAGATTGTTTATTTAATTTATGTACGTAATATTTTACTATATGGAGCTTGTTTCATTAAATATATGTACATTTTGGGTATGTAAGTGTGCGTGTTTAAGAATGCTTCTTAGACATATGTTCTTCGTTACTCGTTGTGTGTATGTATGTGTGTTATTTTGTATACAATTTGTATGTAAGCATGAATGTATATACATACACTGACAAAATTAAGTACAGTTTGCTGTGTACTAATAGTAAGTGTTTAATATTGAGTAAATACTTATATATTTTTTAAGATTTATCAAATACATGTATAAAAGTAAAAAAATATCAAAAAAAAATATTTAATTGAATAAATTCAATACAGTTGCTAATAAATTTAGCAAACACTTATAACGATTAACAAATTGATACATATACATATATGGCCGACACTTCCCACTCTTTTTTATGACGTATAGATTTGATGTTCGTTTCATTTTTCAAGATAAGTTTTGTATGACTTTAGGATCTAAGTCAGCTGTAGATGAAATAATATAACGGAGATATTAAAATCATTTAAAAACTGCGCCATTTTTCTTAATTTATATGGTTCTTTCACGAATTTATTTTTAAAGATTCCAATGAAATTAGAAAAAAGTGATCTACTATTGCTCTTATTTTTTAAAGGATGACATTTGGTGTGGATCCAGATACACACATAGATTCATTAGAACAAGCCGAATGTGCGACCGTTGAAGGCACATCAAAATGGTCATGCAAATTAACAATAACAGGTATTCATGGAAAACATTATGTTCCGTTTTATACCCCCTTTTTCTATATATACTTATTGTTATTATTTTTATTTTCAATTGCGTTATATTATATTTTTACTTACTTCCGCGTCTATCTACCATTCAAGGAAGTTATTAAAATGTTTGAGGAAATTAAAACAAGGATGCACATTTTAATTATTATTTCAATTTTTTAATATGTCAATTGCACATAAGTCGAAAAACTTATAAAGAAATTGCAATTTTTACAGTTTTTATTGTAAGTTTTACCCTGATATAGAGCTGATTGTATATTTTCTTAAGATGATCATGCCCAATTTTTCTCACAAAAACATAATTTTGTCAACTGCACTAGATGTAGTGGTAGAACTCATATAACCATTCAATTTAGAGTTGAATGGTTCATAAAAATTCACACTTAATGTTCGCAAATACTTTAATGTTTTACAGGTGAACAATACTTTAATGTGCAGCTCCAAATACCTATAAACAAATTTTGTTGTCCATTTCCATGATTTTTACCATATGTACATACATTGTATATAAGTTATTGGCATCACATCAAATTTTAATAAATTTGTTTATTGCACATTCGCTGAGATACATAATTTTATTATAAATATATTATGGCTATATTTTTTCAATTGAAAAGAAAGCTACTATTGATCAACTGTTATATCTTTGGCTATAAAAAATACCAAACATAAAAAATTTTCATTGCAGAAAATATCTGAACAAACATATGCAACATTATTTAAACTAATCTCGTAAAAACAAATTAGTTCAAAATTGACACGTAAAAAAGTAATTATTAAAATTACTTTATTTTCTTAATTACATGTAACTTTATTTTTGATATACTAATTTTATCTTAAATATTTATCATATTAATACTATTATTATATTTTCAATTGCTATTTTTAAAATCTCAGAAACTTCCAAAATCTAAAATATGTACTTCCCCTTGAGATTTAGAACTAGAAATGCAGTATCTGAAAGTTATTCGTTTTCTGCAACGACAATATTAAATTTGGCTTTAATGTATAGATTTTCAGTTACTGAATCTTGTTATTCAATATAATCTGTTTGTAATTCATTTACGTAGTGGAATCCATTTTTATCTATTGTGAAAAAAAAGATCTTTAGTTCCAAATATTTATTTATTCGATAAATTAAAAGTTAAAGTTGTTATATCTAATTTTTAAAATTAAGCACTTTTCCTAAAAAAACAAAAACAATAGGAATCTAAAAGGATGTATTAATTCATTACATAATTCAGTATCGAAATAATTCGGATTAAGTAATTTTTCACTGGTTTAGAGAAAACTCTGGTTTATGAAGAAACTAAAAATGAAAATAAACACCTAAGAAAACTTGTTAGTCTTTTAAAAAAAAATAAAATTTGTTAGTTTCAATTTAATATATTCGCTTAAACTAATTAAAGTACTTGCGGACTTAAAGTAGTATTACAGCTCGTTTAAAATTAATTTATTGCTTCTTTTCTGTACAGTATAAACTACTCTTTGATGAACCAATAAATCTTTCGCGCTAGCATCCTTAATTTGAAGTCCTAAAACTACATTTGTATTAGAATTTAAGGAAGTATTTTAAGTTACATTTTCACAGATTGTAAATCAAACACTTAAACTTCGAATAAATGTTTTTTTGTCATAATATTGAAGAAATAATAATAATTAACCCGCATTAGCTTGAGTTTCTTTCTATTTGGGTGTAAATTTCAAAAAATAATTTTATTTTATTACATAGTTTTATTTCACTTATTATTTGCCATGCAGTTTTTATTGAGTTCATTATTGAGTGATATATTTAAAATTTTTTTTGGATTCTTGTCCGAGCTCGATGGTTTTTTTTAACGTGATTGAAATTGTATATAATTTTTTTATATTTTGTATAAAGTACTAATCTTCTTACAGCTAAAAAACAATTTAAACGAAATGCTAAGCTTTCCTTTTATTTCGTATTTATTTTCCTTAATTTGTAATTAGATTTTTCTTCCTAAATTCAATGTGTATCTAGTATTCTAGCTGTTATTCACTTCCTGTATTGTGTGGAAAATGTGTTATGTCCATTAGTATGTATATCGTTACACCTCCAACCAAGCACAGAATATTCAAACACAAAATTTGTATGTGTGCACACGTTTGACACCGTCCATGTTTATATGCACCTATGCTTTCGCATCGGTGATTACGTATACTGACATTAGTATTAATTCTATAACTTTTTAAGAAGAATTAATACTTGAACACCAACATATAAATCACATACCGATCATGCAATGCGATTTTTTTAATGTTTTAAATTTAACGACAAACACATATATTAACTATGAAGATAGCCAATGCAGACTATTGGCTGTATGTATCACAAGTTCAATATTTGCATTGTAACCGTTTTAAAATTAGTAAATTCAATTACAATTGAAATTCGTTTAATATATGTGTTTGTCTTCAATGTATATTTCTACAAATACTTGCAAACTACTATATATACAATATGACAAAATATTTTTTAGTTTTTTCTTTTTACCTAATTTTACTTAGCTAAATTTTACTGTGAAATGTATAAAATTGTTGGCAATTATTTGTAATATTGTTTGTAAATACACACCAAAAGAAAATTAAAAAAATGCATATAAATAAAGACTTCCGTTTTTTTCTCTTCTTCTTTCTTCCTTGAATTCTTCCTAAAATAAAAATAATATGACGATAATTATAACATAATATAAAACTAAATATCAATATATGAACTGCTGGCGGTTATGTTCGTTTCTTATCAAAAATTACACAACCAAAATAATTTGAAACCCATGAACTCATTTTTTCTGCCTTTTCTTACATTTTCCTTTTATTAACGCACTATTTTGGACAATCAATAAATATAACACATCCTTTGAAATATATACACGAATATACACGAACATACACGAACATAATTGAACTGTATTGCACATTCCACATTGCACAATTGCACGAAATGCATATTTTTGATAATGAAACGAAATAAATTGAATAAACGCTGCTGCTACGAAATGACTGCAGTGATCTGTGCTCAAGGCCTGATAGCGAAGGATAAAAGCGGTACCAGTGATCCCTATGTGACTGTGCAGGTTAGCAAGGTGAAAAAACGTACACGCACAATGCCGCAGGAGTTAAATCCTGTGTGGAATGAGAAGTTTCACTTGTGAGTATCATTAACAGTTCTCATAAATGACTTAACTCTTTCTCAATGTCTTGATTCTTCGAACTTTAAAAATTTGTTAATTTATACATATATATATATTAAGAATTGGTCAAAAAGTTCACGAGGCTATATGTTGAACATTTTCTAATTATTATATTTGGTATTGAAAACATTAAATTTTGAATTTTATATTTTGTGGTGAATATTTTAACACATATTTTCTAAATGATTTAGATGAACATGTTTAACATTAATTATAATAAAGACAATGAACTTTTTGAATTATTTCTTTCTAATACGTGATTGGTTTTAACAATATTAATCCCTTTTGTACTTTTTACTTTTTCTTTTATATTGTTTAAACACCTAACATATATCCCATAAATCCATTTGTATTGGTTTAATGCTTCATTTAACATAGTTTAATTGCTATAGGAATCTCATTTTGATCAGATCATTATGTCCGAAATTATGTTTGGCGAATAAACGTTATTCGATACGAAATGAAACAGATCGATTTGCAACGTTCCAAGAACAAATATTTATTGTGTAATAGTTGAATATACATATGTATATGGTTAAAGCATTGCTTGCTTCTTTGTCAATTAAGTTTAGTTGAAAGGTGTGTACCGAAACCCTTACAGATGGATTTACAAAAAATGTTCCTGACGACAAAGTAATATGTATTTTGATAAATAATTTAAAGCTCCGAATTTATTCTAGTTTATCATTTTATTTTCTGTATTCAATTCCTACTAATTTTCACAATTTAGTTTAGGTTAAAAAATTTATAATCGCAGGAGAATGAGCGAAAAACTTGCTGAATCCTAGCAGAACTAAAATTTCTTATGAACACAAATTTATTTACTAATTTTATTTCACTTTTCATTCTTTATAATTTATTTTGAGTTCAGTTGTGAACACAACGCTATAATAGATATAAAGCTTTAGTTATTTATTTTATATAATCACAGTTAAACGTAGGCATTAGTTTCAAACATGTTTGTGTGGATAAGCAGAGTGCATGTTGGATGAGTGTATTTGTTTAGTTTGAGTTCTACAATACATATGTATATAAGAAAGTAATATTAATAACTTATAATTAAAAAATGGACAATGCTATTAGTGAATGTCACAACTCATCAGACCGCATTAAAGTACGTGTTTGGGACGAAGATAATGATTTAAAATCGAAACTTCGTCAAAAATTGACGCGTGAATCTGACGACTTTCTCGGACAAACCATAATAGAGGTTCGAACGTTATCGGGTGAAATGGATGTCTGGTATAATTTAGAAAAGCGTACTGATAAGTCGGCAGTGTCGGGTGCTATTCGTTTGCATATATCAGTTGAAATAAAAGGCGAAGAAAAAGTAGCACCGTACCATGTGCAATATACATGTCTACATGAAAATCTATTTCACTATCTATGTGAAGAAAATATAGGAATGGTAAGTGAACTTTCTAATAAATTTTTATTCTTTCTTTGCAACGTAAAAATGCAGTCAATTTAAATTTATTTATGCAAGACATTAATGTGCTTTACATAGAGGCAATTAGATTAACTTTTGATTCAATATTCAAATAAATCTGAAAAGTGTTTTGAAGTTGTTGAATTCAAGTGAAACTGCAGACAAATAATATACAGATTGCAAATGCAGAACAAAAAAATGACTCCCATGATTTCATAGCAGCCAGCTCAAGTATCTACTAAAAGCACATATGAGCTTTGGATTGTAGAACAATTAAGGTATACAAAAACTGCGTATAACACAATGATCTTAAGTGTTCGTAACATAAAAAAATGGTTGAATGTACGTGTAAGGGGGTGTGTGATATAGTATAGAAATTGTTGCTATATTTTCTATCCATATTGTTAGTTTGGATGCTTGTGTCATTTATATGAAGACGATTTTCTGTTTTGTATTCTTATGCTTCAGCAATTTAGCTGTGTCGAGACAAAATTTTGTTTCTTTTTAGATAATGAGGAAATAGAAAGGAATAGGCGTTTGACGATAGTCATAGACGAAAAACAGGTGCTGAGTCATTCTTATTGCAGGTTTACTATAAGATTTCGTTAATAATTAAATTTTATATGATTTATTTAATTAATAGTTAGAAAAACTTGAACGTTTATTTAATTATATATATTAAAATATGAAACATAATAAGATATTAAATAACAT